CGATTAGTTTTCAGGATAAGAACAAAATATTTCTTCCTCAGCTGATACAAGAATGAGGCATTTTCTTTTTTCACAAAATCACTGAATGATAAAGGAAGTTACCCAGATAACGGACTGAATGATTCTTCTTAATGTGACATGTGAGGGAATAATAAAGGCAGTCAATGGAGGATAAATGTAGGACTAGTTGCATCATTGAATATCTAGATATGGAATCAACATTTCTTCCTCCCCTTACCTTGCTCCATAACCAATGAGACAGTCCCGTTCCATCTCTCCCAAGCGCAGCCCTCCGTCCCTTGAGCGGCCCTCTGTTGGTTGGCGTGTCAGGACTGCACGCGGCCCTTTGGCACGGGCATGCATCTTATCCATCACCATGTGCTTTAACTTCTGGTAGTAGATCGGGCCGAAGTAGATGTACGCTGACAGAGGTTCACTGTCAGTACAATCACACACTCAGTAATGGTATCAGGGTTAGAACAATTCTAATTTCTTTTCAAAGAACAGATGATCAAATGCTTTTTTATCAGATGTAAAGTGTCGTACAGGTAATAGAAAATCAATCTAATTAAAATTATATCTTCACATCGCTCCCGTTTACTGATATGTCGCGTTGAAGATCTAACAACATCCCGTAGAGGGTCACGTCAGAGGTCAACATGAATACATTATCGCATTTATAACAAGCCAATCAAAACGCGACATATTTCTTTCATTCAACCAATCAGAAAGCAGGACCTGTGGCATTTAATGCAGACACCTCGTAGCCCAAAATCCATTTTTTCGTCTGGTCCAGTGATAGTTTGAATATTGCGAAGCCTGTCATTGGTTAATTTTAGTTTCAGGTTGTTAAACTTTTTAACGACAACATCACCAGAAGAGCAAGTCTCTCTTATTTCAAAGCAAAATCCACAAATTGTACAAACGTTGTCCTGTAGATAGACACAGCGTGGTGTCATGGGCGCCGCCATTTTTCGATACTCATTTGACACCCCTTGTCTTTTATCATAGCAAGTGTGTTCCAAAATCATTACATCATCACTTACAGAAATGCGTAAGCTCTCATCTGATTGGTTAATGCAAAGGTCGCCTGAACATGACCCTCTACGGGATGTTGTTAGATCTTCAACGCGACATATCAGTAAACGGAAGCGATGTGAAGATATAATTTTAATTAGATTGATAGAAAATCTTCATCTTATGCCCCGGTCACACATTCACGGATCGTCTTGCCAGATCCACTAAATATGGAAACTCATGGATGACACCGGAATAATCTTTATCGGTGGTCCGCTAGGGAAACACCACGGTTTGACTACGGATAAGGGCTAGTTGACAACGGGGAGTGGTTCAGATTGCTATGGTTTGCTACGATTTCAGTACGGGACAACACGAATTAAAACAGTCTGGCACGGATTAGTACGAACTCGCACGGACCTGCCACGGTAAGCAATCTGTATACAAACTCCAGCGCCCACGTGTTCATTCTACAACTTGATTTTAGTACAGGTAAGAAGTATGTAGTTCACCGTAACTGTACCGATCCCTGGCGACTTGAGGCCGGGGATGTACTAAGATGAAGTACGGATGATTACGGTTTATTACGGACTACAACTGATTAGTGCATTCTACTACGGATCAGTAAGGATGTACTACGGTTGTCTGATCAATGTTGAATTTTTGAACATACTCAATAATTGTCACGGACATACAAGTACTACTACGATTGACCCAGGATAAAATACAGACAGCTACGAACCACTACATATTGCCACGAGCGATGCCGGAACGTATCCGTGGCTAATCCGGCGTCAGATCAGTGAATGTGTGACCGGGACATATATCACCTTTAGGTGAGGTTGTCCTTTCTAAGATATTTAAAATAATTCTTCTATAGATGCCTCGTGTGAAGTAGAACTATCCGAGCCATTAAATACGACCTACCCTGTGATGCCGGAGGTGACGTAGTCCTTGCCAAGGTAGTTAAATCCGTGACGAATCAGGTCAGCTGACAGGTCCTCCACTTTATCACCACTGAACGCTGAACACATACATAATGTAAATCTCAAATATAATAATGTACAGAGCCAACAATATTCACAGGTATGACACAAGGATATAATATTGTACAGAGCCAACAATGATCACAGGTATGACACAAGGATATAATATTGTACAGAGCCAACAATGATCACAGGTATGACACAAGGATATAATAGTGTACATAGCCAACAATGATCACAGGTATGACACAAGGATATAATATTGTACAAAGCCAGCAATGATCACAGATATAATATTGTACAGAGCCAACAATGATCACAGGTATGACACAATGATATAATATTGTACAAAGCCAACAATGATCACAGGTATTACACAAGGATATAATAGTCTACATAGCCAACAATGATCACAGGGATGACACAAGGATAAAATATTGTACAAAGCCAACAATGATCACAGGGATGACACAAGGATAAAATATTGTACAAAGCCAACAATGATCACAGGAATTACACAAGGATATAATAGTGTACAAAGCCAGTAATGATCACAGATATAATATTGTACAGAGCCAACAATGATGACAGGTATGACACAAGGGTATAATATTGTACAGAGCCAACGATGATCACAGGTATGACACAAGGATATAATATTGTACAGAGCCAACACTGAGGATTTTCTAAACAATGAACGGAAATAATCTTAAAAGGAGATAATCCAATAGAGAGAGAAAGAAGGTAATCAATACCCACACACTTCTTACCTGTGCCATAATGAAATTTGCCATCCAGTACACCTGCTTTACTGCCCAGCAATTCCATTAATTTCCCAACTGTCATTCTCGAGGGGTACCCATGGGGATTCATAATCTGTGAAAAACAGTCATATATAGGGGTACCCAAGGGGATTCATAATATGTAAACAACAGTCTTATATATGGGGTATCCATGGGGATTCATAATCTGGTAAATATAGGGGTACCCATGGGGATTCATAATATGTAAACAACAGACACATATAGGGGTACCCATGGGGATTCACAATCTGTGAACAACAGTCATATATAGGGGTACCCATGGGGATTCATAATATGTAAACAACAGTCATATATAGGGGGTACCCATGGGGATTCATAATCTGTGAACAACAGTCATACATAGGGGTACCCATGGGGATTCATAACATGTAAACAACAGTCATATATAGGGGTACCCATGGGGATTCATAATCTGTGAACAACAAACATATATCGCGGTACCCATGGGGATTCATAATCTGTGAACAACAGACATATATCGGGGTACCCAAGGGGATTCATTATTTGTGGACAACAAACATATATCCGGGTACCCTTAAAGGTTACTCTTATCTGTGGACAATAGAAAAATATTGGTGTACCCATAGGAGTTTTATTATCTTGTGACAATCGAGATTTTTATTTTTTTTAATCTGTGGACTTTTGGGGATCTTTCTCTGCAGACAATAAACAGGTGAACCAATGACTAACGGTGTTGTGATGCCATGTATTTCAAGACTATAATTACAAAGATACATAGATTTTATTCTAACACAATTGGGATTTTACAATCCTTTGGTAGGCAGCTGTGAAATAATAAAAAAAAAGAGGCCCAAGGGCCTTAGCGGTCACCTGAGTTATATCATAGATACTGGTAGCTTTATTTTATTGTTTAGATGTGATGTGGAAATCAGCATGTAAACTAAGTGAAATACAATACTTGTCATGTCATCAATGGATAAGAATTTGAAAATATTGGTAAATGTTCCCTTTGGGGCCCCGCCCTAGCCCCTGGGGATGGGGCAGGAATCCTAATTTTACAAAGTAAAACTCTCATTTACCCAAGATGATTCTGACTAAGTTTGAGCAATTTTCTGCTGAAAATGGATAAAATATATACCGAAAAGTGTTATTTCCCTATATAAACTATAT